CCCCAAAACCCCAAAACCCCAAAACCCCAAAACCCCTTAAAAATATCATTTATTGACTATATAAAATTTCCTCAGTGCAAACCAACATGAATTCCAGATTCACTACCAGAGTCCCCATATACCTGAAATCCCTCGATCCTGACCAAGCTTCTATTTCAGGAAGTGCGGATGAAGATTCTCCTATATCCTTTACCAAAACAAGCAGGTATGAAAATCTCAAAATTCCTTTTACCTAACTACCAACCACACCTCATGCTCATCAAGACCCTTCTATACTACCTTAGCCTTCCAAGCTCCTTACGACCCCCACAAATCGGACAGGGGTAGCCTAAACCAGCTCTGGGCTGCACTTCTTCCCAAAAAAGTCTAAATTTTGCTCTACCTCTCTTCTATTCCCCAGCCAAAATTTTGTTTGCTCATGACTTATTTTAGAAAACCTAGCCAGAACAGGATCTGCCTCAGAATATTGAAATAAGAGGGAAGCAGAACTTGCTCACCTTAGTAGTATGATAGAAGGGCAGCTTAAGAATATTAGAGTGACTCTAGAAAACAAAAATAGGCAAAGGAATGAAAATAAAAGAGAATTAAGGTACAGCAAACTCAGGATTGCCAAGCCAGTAGAAATAGCTGAATATGACAGAGTTCTTGATAGACCGAAGTCTCTGAGAAGGATTCCAAAGAATCTACAGCATATATTAGAAGATCGAAAGTCATCATCTGTAAGTAATTCTTCGAATATTTTTCAATCCGAAATTTTAAACTGAGTGTATTGATCCTTAACCTCAGCATCTAAGATTTGAAGTTCCTTATTCTCATATCCCAAGAGAACAGGGTTCTTTATTTTGGTATCATATTTAAATTTAATCAAGTTTTAATAATTGTACAGATCATCATAACTTCCAAATAATACTGTCCGAAATTCCCTTCAAAATCTTCAAAATGACTGATCTGAGCGACGCCAAAATAGTTTCCTTTTACCTTCAACTTGCAAAAATAGTGGGAAAAGCCTCAAATAAAAAGACCCGGAACTGCGTTTCCTCAATACTTAATAACTCCATGCCAGCACAACAGTACCGATCTGGAAGGGAAAATAGTTTTTCAATTAGAAGATCCTTGACCAAAAGTATTGAGAAGTTAAAACTAGAGATGGTCAGGAACTCCAAATCTATCACATATTCCCTTCTAGCTAGTGTAATCACGCTCAAGAAAATCACTAAGAAAGATTCATTGGTCCTGAGCAAGTTCTGTCAGCTAATAAATGCCAGTAGGAATGAGCATTGTCAGGAGAATAAGAGTTTCAACACGAAGAAGAGCCAGATAATGTTCATTCAAAGAAGTCTCTACTTCATTAGTAACGAAGTGCTCTTGCTTTCTAAGAAGATTAATAACAGCAGGACTCATAATAATACATTTCTGAAGGAAAATATAGATAAACAGAACTTCTTAAAAGAACTGTATACCATGCTGAATAAAAATATTGTGGTGGCTTCAGACCCCTCTGAGTTTTGCTCAAGCATCTCAGTGTTGTATAATTACATCAAAAGTGTCTATGAGTACCTTAGACAGCTAATTGTGGGGGATGTTTCAGTTCCAAGGACTCCTAAAAGTATTTGCTCTAAAAAATCTAAGCGAAGTGGTACTTTCTCAAATTCGAAAAATTCCAAACCTCTGACTAAAAACCAAATGAAAGGTCAAGCCAAGGAGAGCCACATAAAATCTAGAAATAAGATATGTCTTCCAAAGATGAAGAAGTTTAGGACAAACAGGAAGAAAAGTTCTTGTCAAAAGAGGCAATCGAGTGTCAAAAAGAGCCGAGGAAGAGGCTGAGATATTTCTACAAAGAAATCTGAAACCTCCATTTGAAAAGAAAAATCTTCAAAAAGGTTGAAGACTACCCCCTCTGGTATTCTTATGAGACCAGTGCCAAGAATTAATTGCTTCCTGACTAATTACGAAGATTCTGAGAAAGGATTCGAAAGTAGGGAGATTTTAATAAAAGAAAAGCCTGACTTTGTAAACCTGGTGATCAATAAACCTCAAACTACTAAGTCAAAGAAGACAGTATTTGACTTTCACCGTGACCAAAGTTCTTCAGAGTCTGACGTTAAGCTAGAGAATACAGACTCAGAAGTAAAGCCAAGCGAAGAGGAGAACATCAACCTTCCGAGGCCTGAAAATGCAGTAAAAATGTGCTTCAAAGACTTCAAAAATCAGATATTGGTAAAAAATGAAGCTTCTTTTGGAGACACAGTAGAGCTTGACATGTTTGATAATCCTCAGAGTGACACTCAATGAGTAGCAACTCTTCCTGACCCGGTGTCTGACGCAGCTCTTGAGGAAGAAAAGGCGACAGACACTGAAGAGAACATTAACCCTCTCAACTTTGGTCCTGACAAATTTGAATTTTGAAAAATAAAGATGATTCAAACTATGAAGAATAATCAGATAAATAAGGAATTTCTCAAGAAAGAGAGTCTGACTACTATTGAAGAGCAATCCTTTGATATCTCTAATGACTGAGGGACGAACAGAAGCCATAAATTTAGCTCACTTATATCATGAGAGCCATTTGACCTTGAAGAGCCCCTCCACAACCAACTTCCTAATGACAAGTTTAAGTTTGAAATTGAAGATAGTAGCCAGAGCGAATACAGCGATAATCTTCTTGAAAGTGATCAGAATTTACTTCTATAATTTCTATAAATATAATTATAAAAGGGGTTTTGGGGTTTTGGGGTTTTGGGGTTTTGGGG